GGAGGTTGTGTTTATCTGTTATCCATGGGAGTGCCCCTTAATGTCATCAGTGGTTTTTTTCCCCTTCCTTACCATATAAGGGCAGAAGTTTAACTTGGCTCTAGTTACTTAGTCTTACACAGCAAGTTGGGTGAAACCTTCTCTGTATAACTACAGTTTGCATGAAATAAAAAGACCTAACCTTTGATCATCCTATGCTCCACTCTGGTTCAGGCAGGACTTTAAAAACATATTCCAGAGGGTTAATTTTGAGGATATAATATTATTCTCCTAAGAAGATTATTTCTTCTTAATGGTCCTAACTGGAATATTTTTTGTAAGTAAAAATCATTGCTGTTTTTCTTTTTTTTTTTTTTTTTAGCTCTCTTGGCTAAAACATCTGGATTTCATGAAAATTTAGGTCTTGTAAAAGTTTTCTTTCAAATTTGATTTGGAGTACTACTTTGCTATATTGGGGCGGGCATGCCCTTGATTTCTGTGTAGCACCTTGTTGGGGGTTGGGGGAGTGGTGTGCTTGTTCTTGTTTTCTTTATAGGTCCCTTGGGGGTGGGGGTTGGGGGGACAGGCAGGCACATGCTACTCTAAGGCCCCTCACAAGTACAGATCACAACAGATCTGCAGGAAGACAATTGGTAGTCCATACTAATATAGCAGTCTCTTTTCTGAGTAGCTCGTTACATGTTGGGACATAATAGCACTTTTGAAATAAAAGAAACTAGCATCCCAAACTGAAAGACTTCGCCAGCAGTGTCAACATGTGGGCCATTGTTAGAAGCAGCTAACCCAGTACACTAAGGGTGATTTCCTTGCCTGGAAATAATTTATGTCTGGGGTCTTGACCCTTCCCAAAAGCCGTGTTACTTAGATCTGCTTTTTAAATAACAGATGGTCATGTGGCCATGGGCTTGCCCTGGCAGAGGCAACAGCAGGTTAAGTCTTTAGTAGACTGCCCAGGTGCTGTGATGAAAGGAACCTTAAAAAAATATGTAAATAATCCTCAGAACTTAGAGACTACATACCAAAAATAAAGGCTGGTGAGGGTGAGAGATACGGGCGTTTTGAACACAGAGCATAATCCAAAAAAGAGGAAAAATGAGAAAGTTGCCCTTAATTAACTTATGGAATTAAACATATCTTGACTTCTAGGGAACCAAACAAAATTGAGATCAGACCAGTACAATAGGGCCAGAGGAGCCAGTGAGAGTCCAGGTTTTTCCCAGGGGAAGCTTATGTGGAGCCAGATGCAGCCCAGACCCGGCTCTCCGTTCCGGCTGTCACCTACAGGCACCCTTGCCTGTTAGCTGTGGGGCAGGAGCCATTGGCTTCTGGGATGGCGAGCAAATGCTCTGTGTCTTTATGTGAGCTGTTACCCATTAGTGTTACTTGATGCAGTTTTCAATTTTATGCCACGCCTTATTTCAGAAAGGATTGGGAAGAATTGTTTAGTGGATGATACTCGATACAATAACTACTCTAGTCCTGGTTAGGCTCTGTCACTGAGGCCTTTTTTTTTTTTTTTTAATAATTTTATTTATTTATTTTTTCCCCCAAAGCCCCAGTAGATAGTTGTAGGTCATAGCTGCACATCCTTCTAGTTGCTATATGTGGGACGCGGCCTCAGCATGGCTGGAGAAGCAGTGCGTCAGTGCGCGCCCAGGATCCGAACCCTGGCCGCCAGCAGGGGAGCGCGCGCACTTAACCGCTAAGCCACGGGGCCAGCCTCTGAGGCCTTTCTTTCTGTTGGAGATTGGGGTGGGACGGCTGTAGAGCACCTGCCACTCTGACATGGGAAGGGAGAAAGACTCCAGGGGTGAGAACCACCAGTTTCAGGGCTTCCCTGAGGTCCCAGGAGGCCTTGAGGGAACGGGACAGAGCCAGCACAGGAGGAGCCGGGGACTTGGATTTTAGTCTTGTCTGCTGCTGACGGCTGTATGACCTGAGCATGCTTTAGCATTCTGGGCCAAAGATCCCTCCCTTTTCCTATTTTCTTTTTAACGAAGAGCTGGAAGAGTGGTTCCCACAGGATTTGCCAGCTTCTTTGGGTGGTGGGGCGGGGAGAGTGGAGGGGTGGAACAAGTTGTCTATTTATAGTGCAGGTTCCTGCCCTCCCCTTTGACCTCCTGAATCCGAATCTCTAGGGATAGGGCCTGGAAGTTTGTCTTTTTAATATGCATCTCCAAGTGGATTCTGACACCGAGCCAGTGGTGAGAACTGCTGGCCAATGCCTAGGGACCCTTCCAGCTAAACAACTGAGACCCTGTTTTTCGGACCACTCGCAGGTATGCTCTCTGCGTGTGCAGCATTTGTGGCTCCTAGAACAGATCTCCGTTCCCAGTCGGTGTTTGGGTGCCCTACGTGAGGCCCTATTGGCTGGTGTGCCTATAGGGCACAACCCCTAATGTCAAGAGGTCTAAGGTTCTACAAAATGCTCCTGGGGGGAAAAAGTTAGTGACATTTATAAAACAGCGTCCAGAGCTAAAGGAAAGAAGGGTTAGAGTTGGGGGCAATAAGAGGGAAGACACAGATTGATGGGGGCACCTCTCAGGTAGGGAGATCTTGTGTGCAGAGGCAGGAATGAACACCGGGTACTGTCTCCTTACCCCCCGATGCCCCGGCTATGTGGGAAGCTGGAGGCCTAGACTGGCCTGTCACCCAGCAGTTTCTTTCCTCGGAGTATTTTTTTTTTTTAATTCTATTTATTTATTTATTTATTTTTCCCCCAAAGCCCCAGTAGATAGTTGCATGTCACAGCTGCACACCCCTCCAGTTGCTGCATGTGGGACGCGGCCGCAGCACGGCCGGAGAAGCGGTGCGTCGGTGCACGCCCGGGATCCAAACCCAGGCCGCCAGCAGCAGAGCGCGAGCATCTAACCGCTAAGCTATGGGGCCGGCCCTCCTCGGAGTATAAACAGTCTCCTTTCTGAGAGGACAAAGTCCTGAAGGCTGGGGCGCAGATCGAAAGCAGAGCAGGGAACTTAGAATGTGGTGGCTACAAAAAACACTGAAAATCTTGTTGACTTTCTCTGGCCACAGCGCCTGTGACAAGGATATTTCCCTTCATATTAAAAATAATGATAGCAAGGAAAGGGGGGAGGAAAAAAAATACTTTTTGAGTACATTACCTAGACACGCTTCTGAGGTTTTTTTGTTTTTGCTCTTCATTTTTGTTTTTAACTTTCAGAGTTGCTTGTTTGTCCCGTTTCCCCTAACCTCCACCCCCCACCATTCATAAAAGGAATAGAATTTTACTGGAAACGGAAAATACATAAAAGTGAAAAAGGCTGACCTGACCTGACCTGACCCAAAAGTATACCCTTAGTGTATATATCTCCTTCCAACTTTTTAAAAATAGGGCTAAAGACTTTAAAAAGACAGTTCCCCATACTTAAGAAATTTGTTATCTCTATTTCCCTTACCCCTCCTCCAAAAAACAACAGTCGCCTGCCAATCAGACCTAGTGGGGCCCATTACTAGCTGTGCACCGATAATGATTTACTTTGTGGGCCAGTACAGTTGTGAACTGTCCTCAATTCATTTCACATTTCCCCTGCCTCTATCAACCAGTTGTTGCTACATTTTTGAGGAGATAAAAGTATGTTTGAATGTTTTTATAGAGTCCTTCTCCAGAGTTGCAGATACCCTAATCACCTCTCTTTCCCAGATAAAACTTGGCATTTGAAATCTTACAAATGTAGATGAGCAAAGATCTGAATGTTCTCATATTCCTTTGATTCAAGGCTGTAATTGCAGCCTCTCTCTGAATTGTGTGTGCACTTCAAACTGTGTATATCATGGGTCCGTGAGCTAAGAAAGTTGCTTTTGTTTAAATTAGGTTGGTTTTATTCACTTTATTCGGTAGACATTTACTGAGCCCATACTCTTATGCATAGAACTGTGATTCTGTGCACGTAAGAAACTTATAGTTGAGTAAAGAAGACAAGAATGTAGACAGAGAAGCAGCATAGGTCCCTATGTGTGTATTGTAATTTTTAGAAAACTTCCCAGTGTGCTGAAAACCCCATCACCCTGTGATAGGCATACATTCAAAGTGGATGAGGTTAAGGAAACGGTACCTGACTAGTGAGATCCATCTTTCATTTCCATGCATAATATTTAAACAGCCACCAATGCAAGTGTATGTAACAGGCCATCATAGTCTGGCCAGTGCTGTGAGGCTCATAGTAACAAATGCTTATAGCAGTGGGTAATCACCACATCCCCAAGAAGGAAACGTCTTATTTCAGAGATAACCAAATAAAAACAGTATCTGTACTGCTTTTCTCCTAAGGAGTTTGAAACTTTCCTTATAGCAACCTTGACTTGTAAGAAATTACACTAGGCTTATGTCAAAACACTTGGGAAATTTGTCTTGGCCCTGTTCCAGTGTGACCAGTTATTCTAAAGGGGGTACTGAAAAGGAGGCAGTGGGGAGGGCGGTTCCTGGATTTTGTTGTGTCTCTGGATGGTGTATATCTTAGAACCACTGAATTTTAAAATATTTTAGTTCCTTTATAAGGCCCCTTTGAGAAAGTGGCCAGGAGAAAGGGGAACTGAGACTCCTGAGTCTGATTTCTGGCTGTGCTGCTCTTGTCTTATGTGGCTGAGGCTGAGTAAGTCTTGTCGTCTCTGTCACACCTCAGGCCCCCAGTGAGTGAGGGGTCTGTAATGAAGCTCCCCTGTAACAGTCAGGTAAAGCCAGGGTGTTGAAATCTGTGGAAGAAAGGAGCCAAGTGAGAGAGTGGCAGTTGAGGGTCTGTCTGTGTGATGAGGATTGTGGGTATTGATTTGCATATGCAGCAACATGGACATTCACTGTAGAAATCAGTGTGTGAATGTATCTGAGAACTCCACAGTTGACCAGGGCTGGTAATGCGCTTAAAGGTAGCTCAGCATGAGGCCCAGGCCCTGTCTGAAACCAGAGTTTCAGTCTCAGCCACTTCCTCAAGGTGAGACACTCACTTTTCTCCAACTCTGAAACACCTTTCGCTCTCTCTGCCTAGGCTGAAGCCGATGTAGCCTCTCTGAACAGACGCATCCAGCTGGTTGAGGAAGAGCTGGATCGTGCCCAGGAGCGTCTGGCAACAGCTCTGCAGAAGCTGGAGGAGGCCGAGAAGGCAGCAGATGAGAGCGAGAGGTGAGGAAGCCCCGTCCAGCCCAGCTCTTAGCACAGGCCTTTCCTCCTGGGGGAGCGGGAGGGCTTCTCCGACCTTTGGAGTTTCAGAGTTTTCCAGTCCCTTTGGTGGGATCATTTCTTCGGTTGATCCCAGATATAACTTTATTGATTTTGTTCATTTAACATCAGTGGAACACCTGTGTGCAAAGCACTGTTTTAAATCCCAAGGTTACAAAGAAGAAAAAGATCCTATTCCTACCCTTATAGAGCTCGCCATCCAACAAGAGCTCGCCATCCAACAAGGGCGATGGACATGTAAATGAGAAATTCTAGGGATAACATTGGTTCTTTCGTTCCTGCTGACCACAGGGCAATTCTGCATTTTTTTTTTTAAAGATAACTTTATTTTAAAATACACCAAGGAGGGCTGGCACCGTGGCTTAGCAGTTAAGTGCGCGCTCTCCGCTGCTGGCGGCCCGGGTTTGGATGCTGGGCGCGCACCGACGCACTGCTTCTCTGGCCACGCTGAGGCTGCGTCCCACATACAGCAACTAGAAGGATGTGCAGCCATGACATACAACTATCTACTGGGGCTTTGGGGGGAAAAAATAAATAAATAAAATTAAAAAAAAAAAAATACACCAAGGAGGCTTGGGCCTCGATAAGTGAACTATGGGCTGTCAGTTGTCGAGTAGCCCAAAAAACAGGTGGAAGAGAAAGCACAGATAAAACAGAAATACGATCTGCAAAAGTAAATCGTTTTGGACTTAGGAATGCTGATAAGACACGTGCACCCACGTAAACGCAGTCAGATACTCGTGTCTTCTGAGCCAGTTGCCACTGTAACCTGGCTCTGCCTGACTTGCTACTCCAAGATTCAGCTTGGTGGTGGTAACGGAGAACCATGGCCATATCAACCAGGACAACTTCGTGGGTTCCAGAAGGCATTTTCTCTTATGCTCAGCTATTCAAGTTAATATATTCATGTTGCATAGAAGCACTCCATGAGACCAGAAAAGAGTTCTAAGGCTTGAGGGATAACAAAGTGGTGTGGTGGCTCAGAACACTGAGAGTGTTTATCTGTGCTGTGACCGGGGCAGGAGAATGCAATCAATTATTTTGTCCATTTCACCATCTTTGAAGTGAGTTTCTGCTCCCTGCTGCCATGGATAAAGAGTGATTTCAGACTTGAGGATTCAAGAAGCTTTTTAGCTGAAGTTTTCAGCTCCTTATTCACTGCTGCTTAGTGCTTCCTTCTCCAACAAGAGTTTTGGAATTCTTGAAGATGACTCATCGTCTCTTACAGTGTACGCATACCAGTGGTTTTGTGGCTGACTTCTTCCTGAAATACACTTGTTAGTGAACCTAAAAGGCAATCTGGTAATGTTAGACTTTGCAGTAATAAGGAATTTGGAGATCGTTTACTCCAATCCTCTGGTTTTACAGACGAGAAAACTAGGGCCCAGAGACTGATGTGTCCTGCCCAGCGTCTCACAGCCAATTTATGCTGAGCCAAAACTAGAACTCAGGTCTCCTAAAACAGATCATAGTGCTTCATCCAAAAGGAGTGGTTTATTTACCTTACTGCCTACTTAGATTTAGGTGAATGAATCTCATTTTAAATGACTTGTTTTTCCGTAAATCTGTAATATATCAGAGATCATTTAACATTTTCCAAAACTTAAGACACCATGCCATAGGACCCTAACATACACATCAGTGTTGAAGATGGTGTCAGTCCTGTCTCTCAACACCTCTATTATGAAAGAGTTCCACTAAAAGCAAAACTCATAGTTTCATGTCTAAAGCATTAGTTTGACCCCTATGAAATTGCCATTTTTTGAGGTCTAAAGTGGTCAAATATCAGCAATTTCATATGGTTCAATCTAATATTTTCATTTGTGGCTCCTGGGGTAAGAACAGCTACCTTCCTTGTAGGAGGAGGTACATAAAGATAAATTTGCTTTTTTGTTCTAACTTTGGGCTATTTTCAAGCTGAAGCTTCCCACTAGGAAAGGGAAGAAATCCCATTATTTACATAGCAAGTAAAGCGTGTCCCAGATTCCAGCAGTATCCTGACATGGTACCCTCCATTTGACGTTCGATGCCTGGACAGTTTCACCAGTGCAGTCACAATAAACAGAAGTCTATGTTTGTTTCTGCCTTCAGCTCTGCAAAGTCTTGCTTCATGGTTTGGAAAATAAAAGCAGCTCTGTGCTCTATTTTGGTCTGCCAGTTACACTGAGCCCCACAGACCACGCAGTGCGCTGTGGGTTTGTGGGGGTCAACTCTAAACCTGGGGTTTCTTCCCTGTCTTCCTTTTCAGAGGCATGAAAGTCATTGAAAGCCGAGCCCAAAAAGATGAGGAGAAAATGGAAATTCAGGAGATCCAACTGAAAGAGGCCAAGCACATTGCTGAAGATGCCGACCGCAAGTATGAAGAGGTCAGATCCTGGGGCCCAAAGCCTCGTGGACTCCCCAGCAGTAGCACTGGGGGGCCAGGTAGAGTGTACAGCCTTGCATTCTCCGGTCAAATGATCTGCTTCCTTGGCAGAAATGGTTGGTTTTGAGAAGCAGATTTCCTTTGGCTCCAGAAAATGATTCTTATTTTGATCCAGCAAGGGGATCCCAGGCTTTATTATGAAGCCAATCAGTAACACTGGGAAAGACCGAATCTTCACCTCTTCCCCCCCCACCCCCCCACCACCAAAGACAAGGACAAGAGATCTTTGGCCAGGAGAAGGGAGAGTTGGGCCTCTTGAGTCATGTGGAAGGAGCCTCTGACGCTGTTACGGTGCAGGCAGTTCTTCCTGGTGTGATTCATCTCACAAGGTCTAGTTCAGGCAGCGCAGAGACACGGACCGGTAGATGCATGGAGGCCATTTTCAGTCTGTCCTCCTCTCTCCTCAAGGTGGTAGAATCCCATTATCAAGACAGGTTCTAAGTGAATCAGCTCCTGGCCATGTCCCCATGAAGACAACCTCTATGATAACAGAGCCAACGTGACTGTTAAGGTTTTAGTTTTCCCTTATCGTATCACGTCCTGGCTATCCTGAAATGGCATTGACCCTCTTCTTTATTGTTATTGTTATCTCTAGATTACACCATGCCCACTAATTTTGAAATGCTTCAGAGGATCTCTTCTTCTCTCAGGGTCTTTCTTTCACTAAAGACAGATTTGGCTTCATTAGTCATCTCACCAGCTTATCTCATGGTAGCTTCTCTTGCTGTTTCTGTTGGCCCTTTACTTCCTCCACAGAAAGGAGGTTGAGGTACAAAGCTCTAAATCGATGGAGTTCTTAGGATTATTTTCAGTATTTTCCTGGCAGTCCCCACATTTGCAGCATAAAATGCATCATGTCTCCTCATACTGCTATTTTTGAGATGGTGAATTTTGTCTCTCTCCCTCCTTCCGCACTTTGGGCTGGGTGCTATGTAATTATACAGACTTCACCTGGGTCAGACTTAAAATAAGACTGCCCACTCATCACTAACCGTTCTGGGTCTTTGTGAGCAAAGGTCTCTGGTCTCCTCTCCACTGGCGCTCCTGATGGAGAGTTGTTTCCAGTCCACGGGAAAGAGAATCATCTTGTTTGTAGACAAGAACTCCTAGGGGCAGATGGATCCAGTCCCCACCCCCACACCCCCTTACTCAAAACTTGCAAGCCCCATGGTGTGTGTGTATTGTTTGTCCTGCTGCAGGTGGCCCGTAAGCTGGTCATCATTGAGAGTGACCTGGAACGTGCAGAGGAGCGGGCTGAGCTCTCGGAAGGGTAAGCAGGCCTGGCGCCAGGAGGCCGTGTGTGGGGTGCTGCAGAGCAGTGACTAAACAGCATGACCTTCTGGCAGCTGCACATGTACCTGTTTCAGCTCCGGGCTCCTTATGTGTTGACGTGGATGAGTTATGAGTATGGAACTCGGAGGACTTGTGTGGGGCGTCTGTGTGTGAATGTGTATATCACCGCATGCCTTACCTGCACACTGATTTTGAGAATGGCCTTGTGCATTTCCTGTGTCCACTAACAGCCAAGTTCGACAGCTGGAAGAACAATTAAGAATAATGGATCAGACCTTGAAAGCATTAATGGCTGCAGAGGATAAGGTACTGATGGCTCATGTGTGGTTTTTAGGTTTAACTGCAACCCAGACGTCTTTCAGCTTCCAATGCCTCCTGGTCCGTTTGGTGTAACGCCTGCACCTTCACTACACCCTTTGCTATCTTATCTCTTGCTTTAAGTGCTTTCTTTGGGTCCTTTATACTCCTTTGTTTTTCCTTCATAAATGCTCTTTGGTGCAGCCAAAGAAGAAGCCAAATTATCACACTTCAGAGTTGTTGGCGTTTGTCACCCCACCTTCTGCTCTTGCAGGGTTGGGGGGGCAGTGTCCATGGCAAGATTGAGCATTTTAATACCTGATGATTTGGCTACTTTAAGGCAGCACTTTGTTCTCTAGGACTCGGTTTTCATTTTTTCCCATCCCTCTCCTTTTTCTCTCCTCCTTCCTTTGGCTTGTCTCCCACCCTTTCTGCCTCTGATCGAAAACATTAGCAAATGTGCCGAGCTTGAAGAAGAATTGAAAACTGTGACGAACAACTTGAAGTCACTGGAGGCTCAGGCTGAGAAGGTAGGCCAGGAGCATGGTGTGGGGGAAAAGCATCGTTTAAGAGCTGCTCAAAAGACACCCACTTTTTCTTTTCTGAGGCTCTGCTGATGAAAGCAATAGTCCTTTAGGCATTTTAATAAATGGAATCATTTTGAGGTGATTTCCTAATGGTTATTGGATAACAGATTCATTTTTTTTATAGAGAATATATTTTACGTTGAGTATATGAGTCATCTGTAACAATTTAATTTAAACCAACTGCCAAGTCGATAAGTTATCTTGTTCTTAACCCTTGTAAAACAATAGGCAAGAAAACAGAAAAGATATTGTAGTATGCCATTTGATATCAGAGGCTCCATTACCTCCTAAGAGATCCTCAACATCTGTTGGCTGGGCTGGCGCTTTCTTTGTATTGGAAGACAAGAGTATAGGGTGAGCTGTGGCCTGACATCTGGAACGTTCTTTCTAATTACAGTACTCGCAGAAGGAAGACAAATATGAGGAAGAGATCAAGGTCCTTTCTGACAAGCTGAAGGAGGTAATATTATGAGTGTTTTGGACAAAGCCAACTGGATTTTAAGTGAGTTTGTTTTTATGGAGCAGGTCAGGGCTTTTTTGTTTTAAAGTTACGATGATCCAAGTCAGGAATATTCATAGGTGGTCTTGGAGATCATGAGCTGTGCTAGCTGCTCATGGTGGTGACTGACTGACTGGTAGTGTCAGACCCATTTTATGGGTGCTGTGCTTGGTTTTCATTCTCTCGTTTTCCCTCTATTTGTAGCTACTGGGAATCTAAAACTTCTCAATTTTGATTGAAATACATTGAATCGTTACAGGCTGAGACTCGGGCTGAGTTTGCAGAGAGGTCAGTAACTAAATTGGAGAAAAGCATTGATGACTTAGAAGGTAAGATCTTAAGTTTTCTTTTTAATTTAATCTTTATGGTTGAATACTGACCTGGCGAAACAATCCAATCCAAGTGCATCCTCCTTGATATACTTCTTTGCTCTTGCACACTCTTCCTGTCTGTCCTTTGGGGTTTTCATTCTGTGGCTCTTAAGCTCTTGGGCCTGAGTCCTCTGCTCACCAGATGACCGTTAGCCACCAGACAGGGTACGTCTCTTTTTGTAATGCCAGATCCATCCAGCTTTACTTCACAGTCTTCAGAAGTGTGGCAGGTTTATTTTTCATAGCGGGTGACGTAGTTGTAGGTAAGAATGACTAGTGTATTGTCTGTCTTTAGTGACCCCTCCTAATTGTCAGAATGGTATGGATTTGTTTTTAGACAAACTCATCTTCGTCCAAGTATGAATTCCATGTAAGGGTTTGGGTGGGGTTTTTTTTCAGTCATTAATGATCTTGGCAAATGCTCTATATCCTGAAAGGGGGTGGGTGTAATAGGGCATTGTATTCTGAGATTATACTGAAGCATTTCTCCCCTAAGATATTTAAGGTTTTGTTTTAGTAACACCCACTACATCTCACAGAAATCCTAAATGTTGAGCTCTGAGGCTTGTGAAGGGTCAGCTGTGAAAAAGAAAGAAAAGAAAGAAAAAGTACATAAAATATGTACATCAGAGGCAGAGGAGCCTAGAGTCTAGGGACTGGCGGTTGGTGCAGATGGTAACCAAGCTAGCGGAGAAGAGAGAATGACGAATGGTTGCAAAACAGTCTGCAGCGAAGATGGCCTTGCAAGCCTCCTGGACCAGTCACAGGGCAGCTTGAGCGGGAAGACCACAGGAATAGTTTACATGGCACTAAGAGATCCACGTACCGGAGGTCTAGTTTGTCAGGAAGGCAGTGGTTTGAAGGTGGAGCCAGAGAAGGATTACAGACTGTTGTCACAAATTGTTCTTCCAAAACACTGCCCTTGGCTATGTTTTCCACCGTTGTTAGTTGCAGGTGGCTGACTACTCCAGCGTAATTAAAATATGGCTCTATGAAAGAGAGGTGTCCTATTACCCACCCAGGAGACAGCCTTCTGTGGTTTTGTTTAGGCTTTAACACGGTTTACTGATATACCTCCCTACCATATTTGTTATGATTTTCATATGGAGTCTTTCTTGTTTTATTTTCTAATGGGTTTTGTTCTTTTTGTTTTTGTTTCAATTCATTTAAAAACAAAACGCACGCCTCCTGCACTCGCCACCTGCTGCGGCACCAATTCCTTCATGCATTGCCCTTTCCTTGCTGCTGTGCCGGGATGGTGTCCATGCCACCCTCACTCACCCTCCATCTCTTGATCACTCTCCATGTCCTTGCACCTCTGCCTTCCACTTCCTGGTCATAGACGAGCTGTACGCTCAGAAACTGAAGTACAAAGCCATCAGCGAGGAGCTGGACCACGCTCTCAACGACATGACTTCCATGTAAATGTTCATCCACCCTGCCTGCTCACATCCGTGCCCTCACGCTAATATGATAAACTCACTGCTGCTTCCTTCTGTGCCTCCAGAATCTCCATCTTTACACCTTTCTGTTCACTCTCTGCATAATAGGATCATCGTTGTTTTTTCACATTCTACTAATATAAAAGGCCAAGTAGATTTAAGTGTCTATACAAATCATTTTCCTTTCAGAATCCATTTATTTCAAAATCTTTGAGCTAGATTGTTCCCACCAAGCAATGAGCTGGAATGTGAGTGACTTGAGTACTATTCTTTTAGGAAATTAAACTAGGCTCAAGTAAAATTAGAAAGCCATGCAATTGTGCAGGAATGTCCCAAGAAATAACAAAAATTGGTTTCCTGATATTCAGTTAAATACATGATCGTTTTCATAAAAGAAATGTAAACTTAAGGAGCCCTAAAATGTCAGGTTCCTGAGCATCTGAGAGAAGGAAATTGATGGAATACAGCCTAAAGAATGGTGCCGTTAAAGATCATCTCTTCCTCACTTTTAAGAATTCTAGGCAGAAATGAACCCTCTGCCGAGTAACCAAGCCTTTAATATTCTGTATTTATATAAAAGGAATTAAAATACAATAAACACCACAAGCTGTGTCAAAGAAATGGGAAATAAAACACAGATTGTGCAGTATGAGTTTGGGAGTTAATGGCCCAGCTTTTACTACTGTGAGGCAGTAAGTATTGGAGTAGATGGTCTTGTTCTCATGAGAATCATGAGCAGACACAACTAATTTACATATTACTAACCAAACTGAGACATTAAACTTAGTCTGCTGCTTTAAATTCTCACCTGGAATGTTTCACGGGTCTTCTCTTCATGCTAATAATATAGCACTGAATTCCATATGAGCTGGAAATTCCATTTTCCAGGCCCACCTGTCATTCCTTTACCCATGCAGAAAAATGGTAGCTTGAAGAGTGTGGCATGTGCCTGCTGCCTTATAGGTTATAGAATCTCTACATTGCCCTTAGAGACACAACTGTCACCATGGAAACTAGAAAGAATTCCATGACTCTTATCTCATTTGTAAATGAGGGGGTGGATCGGATCACCATCTCTAAGGTCTTTTCTAGTGCTAAAATGTGGTGATTCTATGGGGAAAACATTTAGCATCAGGTACGATTAAATATTCTGCGAGGTGGGTTTCATCTTAAATTTGTTTTTAAATTCTGTTCATGAGTCGTCTTTAAATGGACCCTTACCAAGAGGGGGCCTGTGACGCCTCTAGTCCAGACACTGGTGGGCAAGGATGGACATCCTCCTGCAGGTGCAGCTGGCCATGGGTTTTGCATGTCTCCTTCTCCCCTGTGTTTCAAGTGCTGCTCTCATCTGTGAGTTTGGTTTCCCTTTTTTCCATTTGTGCCACTTTTTTTCTTTTTCTCCCGCCTTTTCTCTTCATGCAGATAAGTTTCTTTGCTTCACTTCTCCCAAGACCCTTTCATCAAGCTGGACGTTCCACCTGTCTGAGCTCTGCAGTTTGTCTCTTCTCCAGCTCAGCCTGGTTCTTTCCTTTAGCATCCTGCCTTAGGGCCGGGCACACACTGTGCTTTCTATTGTACAGAAGCTCTTCATTTCAGTGTAAAATAAACACTGTGTAAGCTATTTCTGTTTGCTATTCTTTTTACTTCTTATTTATTGACATTTTAGTTTCAACACTGAATAAAACTATAAATCTGCTTCACGCATATGAGGGTTAATTTTTGGCTGCTGCTTTTTTGTTTTTCTTTTCATGCTGAACATCATACATTAATATTGAGAGTTCCTAAAGCAGTAGTTCCCTGTGGAACTTTTAGAAAATACTCATGCCTGGGTCCCTTTCAGAGTTTTGGCTTCCAAAGGTTAGAGCGAGGCCTGGGCATCTGTATTTTTTAGGGATCGTGATGGTTCTGGTATGTAGTCTGGGTTGAGAACCTCTGCACAGGCGACACTGCTTGTTGGAGTTGGAAGATCCGCCTTGAGCAGTGTCTTCTGCCAGAGGTTTAGTTTGGGATGTGGTGAGCCGCCTTTGTTGATATTTAGATGGCCTGCTTGGGAGGACGTGGCTAACTGATGAATGGCTCCACAGCCATCTCACATTGCTAGGAATTTACATATTGAGAAAGGTGAAAAAGAACTTGGATTCAAACAATGTAAGTTGAGGTTATTGTTGGTCATCCTTTTATAGCACAAAAAACTGTTAAAACTTTTTAGCAGTATATTCATTACTCAGCCACGTTCATGAAATTACATCTCAGGTTTTCTAAATATGATTACTGTGTTCAAGTCGAAATTTATTGTTGTACGTACAGAATCTTTGTGTTAATAGCTGGTTTATTCGTATGTGGACATTTTTAAAGTATAGCCATTAAAGGTGATTCTTTTTTTTTTTTTTTCCTTCCCTAAAACGTAGTTGGTGGAAATTATTCAGAATACAGTTCTATTTTATTTGGGCTTCACTGTTTCACTTCAAAAACAGCAGTTAAGTGATTTAAAAAAAAAAAAAAACACACACACACACATTGCAAAATTAGAACTTTAAAGTGATGTGGACGTTTGTTTCTTAATTTCCAACATTTCTCCTTAACAATCTGGCTGTATTTCTCCTATGTTTTAAATGTGGGTGATCTTCATCTGTTTGTGTGTAGGTTTTGTTAGCCTAAGAGGGTCAATGTACCACTGTACTCAAATAAATTTGGACAAACTGATAATCATGTCAATCACTCTATAAAGACCTCAGAGCAGAGAAAAAATACTCTTTCAGAGGGCTGTGAATTAAGTATTTTAGTAGTGGTATAGTAGACTTTTATTGGGACATTGTCTCTCCCTTGAGCATATAAAGACTTCTGTAATTTCATGGTTTTTTTTCCCTAAGGCTCCCTGGGCCTACTTTGACCATGATTCCTGCCTGGTTCTTTTTTAAATTCAGAGTAATAGATGTGGGCCCTTCTCTGAGTAACCCTGCTTCCTGCCATAGACAAAACGGCCAGTCTGCAAGTTCTGCTGAGCAGATGTTCTGTTAAGTCTGAAAGCACATCTGTTTTTTGGAAACCCTTCCAGAGACTTTCACACTTTCTCTAAGTACAATCTACAAGGGGAAATGGGAAACTGATGGATTGGGAAGCCAGATCTGGAACAGCCCAAGAAGGTGTGGTCACGCGAGAGGATAAATAGCAAGTTGAGTTTACAAGAAATTGTCAGAGCCCGGGCTTCTAGTTCGGAGGGCCAGGCGATAGCTGCAGCTGCAGCAGGAGCCTTGGTTGGACCAAACCGAAAGCTTTGCTGAGTCTGGGCACTGGAGGCCCAGACATCTGGGAGGTAGAGCAGGAGAGGAAAATACTTCCAAATGTATAAACGTTTCTGGTCCCTGCCCTCAGACTACCCAAGCATCTCAGATCCATGGCAGCTGAGGTCAAGCAGGTCCAGAGGATGTGATGGGGACAGCTGTCATTTAAGCCGAATTCACATGGACCCTCTGGATTCTCTAAGGTTTCTCCAAAGTTCTTCCTTTCCAGCTTGGCCAAACATTGGCTCAGCAAACTCAAACATGCTGCCTGCCCATGGTGATAGTTCCCCCTGCAATAGTGTGAATGTACTAGCGGGGTTTAGGTTTTGCAACCCCCATATGCAAGACAGTGTGGAAAGTAGTGGGCATGTGGTAAAGAGATAAATCGGAAATGTTCTTAGCCCTCAATGGGCTGGCCATCTTATGAGAAGACAGATGAGTGAAGCGAATCTGAACGAATAGATGATGTGCGTTTAGAGTCAACGAAGAAGAGAGAATAATTCTGACTGCGAGCCACCTGCAGGAGGTAACATTTGACCAGGGTTCTGAATATTCATAAAATTTGGATGAGCAAAGAGAACAAGTCAGCAGATATTCCAAGCTAGAAAACATAATATGAACATAGCATCTTCTGCATCTCCTACTATTTATGAGAGAAAGTTAAAATAAGAATTAATCCATATCCCAACAGACCTAGGGGCTGGAGACTGGACATTTTCATTTTCCCCAGGGGTAGGATTGTCAGCTTTTCAAGATCATTAAGTAGGATGTCTGGGTCCGTGTTGTTACCGTCATTCAAAGCAATCATGTATTCTCTAGCTTGTAGTAGGTGCCAGATTCCTGTCGTTGTCTGGGCGCCCCCTGGACTGTCAGATACAGGCTGACTCTCGTGGTTGGCTTCCTTGCCGTGTGAGCAGATTACATGCTGTTGTGTAGAATTTATATCACGCTGGTCTCTGTAGATGTTTGAGACTTTGTTCATCTTATACACATCCATCTAGCGCCAAACCTAAACGCCATCCTTTTCAAGAAGTAAGCAGATGAATTTGAAGTCAGTTTTGAGTGGAAATAAGTCTTGTTCTTTTGCTGTTTAAGTAGGGTAACACACACCCGGCAGCAAGGCTGGACAAGAGTTCAGAATTTGTACCCTGTGTCATGGAGACTGGGGGAGGACACGGAGCTTAGTTCTGCATTTCAGGAAATGTTAATGCAGCAGCAGTCGCCGCCTCTTTAGTACCTGAGAGGAAAGCCAGCCCTGGGAGTGGAGATGAAAGGGGTTCCAGGAAGAGGTGAGCAGGAATGGGCAGGTTGAGGTGTCGCTGTGAGAGCTCCACTGAGCCCCAGCAAGGAGCGGGGGACGTGCTGGGCTCACCTCCAGCCCTGCCTCCGTTCCTCAGGCTCTTGCCAGAAAACGCATCCGGCTGACACACAGTGTTTTTCATGAGGTGCAAGAGGAACATCCACTCTTTCTCCTCCTCTTACCTTGTTGTTCCCTTTTCCTCCCCTCCCACCAAGAGAGAAAGCCTGGCTCTTCCTAAGTCTGCTAGGCCTTTAGCATCCACCTGCACTGGGCACGGGACAGATGACCACGGGGTGAGGGTAAACCGCTCAGCCAGTGACCGGTGCCTGAGGTATCTCTGTGTTCTGTCTGTTAACCTCCTCTCACCAAGTCTAGCTAACCTCTCTTCCTTCTGCTCTTCTCTTCTGCTAACCTGCTTGCTGACCTGTACAGATCAACTCTACCAGCAACTTGAGCAAAACCGCCGCCTAACTAACCAACTAAAGCTGGCCCTGAATGAGGATTAAACTTAAGTGGGAAAGAACGGGGCTGAATTCTAGGAGTGGAGCCCTGGGCAGGAAATCGCAGACTGTCGTTCCTCCAACTTAATAGGGTTGAAAACAGTGGCTTTCTGCAGAAATGTACACAGGAGGAAGGAATCAGCTGAAAGGCTGGCCTTGCCTGCATTTTCCTCTTGTATCTTGAATATTAAGTTCTCTTTAATCTCAAAACAGCTTTTATGGTAAAATACACTGTATATGGATAAATATTTATAAGGATCAATTCAGCACTCCTCTTTGCAACAGCAGGTCCTCTTGTTTGAACTGATACATATGAGGACCAAAAAAAGTTTTCTATTTCCTACAGAGAACTGAGTCCTGCTTTAAGCTAGAAAGCCAAATCAGAGGGATGTGTGTGTGTGTAACTATATATATTATATATGGAATATAATATATAATATATATATTTCTATTACATATTCATATTCCTAACTTCTTAATACCTGGTATAGTGTTTGAAATACGATTAAATGTACCTATGCTTGGGCAGAATAGCTTTTGAAAAGGAGCTCATGTCAGAAGTCCCTGGTTGTCTGAAAGGTATGCTTTGATTCAGTCTAATGGTGTTGTTGGAATCTGGTGAGACTGTCATGCTAATGATAAATAGAACACTATAAGAGTAGTAAGAAGATGTCCTACTAAGTGTGCATGAAACATGTTGATAATTTCTTTTTAATGAGCAACAGAAATAAATCATTTAAAAAGTTGTCAGAAAACCTATTTATGTCGTCTTTGTTTCCTGTGAGATTGTGGTACAGCACATCTCCCAGACCTTTACCTGCCTGTGACTCAGAAATGTCTGCTGTTATTAACTCCAGTGCTGCAAGCACCTCCCCCGTTCCCATGGCCTGCAGCCAGTGAACCTTCACCAGACCCCACCTGTGCCTGATTCTGAGTGGATTGTTGGTGAAGGTTCCCCTGCCCGCTCCATGAGAACCTGCCGTGCCTGTAGTTCCTCTGGGTCAGAGACGGCTTCCCCTCTGGAGGTCCTTGTGCGGAAATGAGTAGTGTCTTCCAAGCATGCCTGGTCCTAATCATCTCACCCCATGTCTGTGATTGATGTTTGCCTGCCTAAATGCACAAACCACCATTGTGTCCAAAGTACAGCTATTCATGACTTAATTTTCTAATCCCACCACAGAGAAAGTGGCTCATGCCAAAGAAGAAAACCTTAGTATGCATCAGATGCTGGATCAGACTTTACTGGAGTTAAACAACATGTGAAAACCTCCTTAGCTGCGAACCACATTCTTTCATGTTGTTTTTGTTGTTTTGTTTTGTTTTGTTTTTTTAAACACCATGCTTACCCTGAAACCCCTTAAATGCATTTTTATTTACTTTTACCACTGTCACAGAAACATCCACAAAATACCAGCTAGATCAGGGGGTGGGGAAAACACACACACACACAAAGGCAAGCCCCTGTCAGGGCCATGATGATTCAGATGTGCCATTTCCCAGGTTGACGTTGCCACACTTCGTAGAGAGTTTAGCAACACAGTATGCTTAGTCAGTCTAGGAATCCTCACTAGAGCAGAAAGATTTCCACTCGAAGTGCCAACGATACATTCAACAGGAAGATTAATGTTGGAAACACAATCAGGTGTGGATTGGTGCTACTTTAAACAAAAGGTCCCTCTGTGGTCTTTCGTTCAATATTGTACAACTTAGAATTCCGTCCAACACTAATTTATTTTGTCTTGAGTTTTACTATGAGATGAGACTATGGATCCTGTATGCCTGAATTCACTAAAGCCAAGAGTTTGTAAGCCACGCTGCTCTCTTAAGACTATTGCCTTCTAATTGGCACACTTGCAGCTCATTATAATGCGTAGGAAGGACAGCATTCAATGTGGATTTCCACTCATCATTTCTCCATGTTAAAGATTTAGGCACTACATACAACTGGTAAAGAAAAAACATGTTCTTAAGAGTTATAACTATATGTAAACATTGTATAATGATATGGAATAAAATGCACATTGTAGGACATTTTCTAAATTTGGTAGTCCTGTCATTTGTTTTTACTTTGTGAACTTTAGATCATGCGATCAATCTACCTTCCCTCATGAATGGTTTCTGAAAGCCAAACAATATCTAGGGAAAAACTGTGTTCTAGGGGGAAACTGGGTTCCACGTGTTACCCTCCCAGAAGCACTCAAGGCAGCATCCCTTTGGTCAGTTAAAGTTACGACCAAGCAGGAAAGACCCTTTCCAGAAGCCTTTCTCCATGTTTTTGTATATATCTGCACTTAACACGTAGGCCTTTAGCAGTGGCGTCCACACACATCAACGAATTGTAGGTTAATGCACCAAATCTGCTTTGTCCCCCAGCGGTGTGAGTCGACTTAAAAGTATTGCTTTAAAGGGTCTTTCTGATTTCGTGTTGAGTTCTTAATTCTAGTACATCTTCATTTTCTCAGAGTAGGAAACTGAAAGTATCACAGGTCTCTCTTGAAGACTTGAAGCAAACAAAACTACATTACGAACAATATTAGTTGGCCAAATTTGTGCTGCAGGGAGAAAAGGACATTCTCATGAAAAGCAAATAGAGTAGAATGGAAATAAACGAAAACTCATTCGGATGCATGGCTAATATTTTCATTGAAAAGTATTGAATATCTCTGTAGCTGTTCTTCTGAGCCCTTTGACCTTTGACCAGGTGTTTTTTCTCCACAGAAAGAAAGGGTATAATGCAAATAAACGCTCTGGGTCTCAACCTTCCCACGTCTTCACCTCCCCTAGGCTCACCCTGCCAGTCCTCAGCTGGACAGAAAATGCATCTCATTCTAGTCATAGAGACCTTTCCTGACCAGCACTCTTTCACTTTGGGAGCCAGATCTGGCTTCCTCTTTACTAGCTAAAATCTGAGATTCTTCATCTATGAAACAGGGCCAAGATTAGCACGTAGCATGTAGGTTGTTGTCGTGGGACTCGCATGTATAACCCATGTAATGAGTACATAGCACAGCCCCTAGGGCGTGTTTGATAACCACTGACTGCTGCTGTCCTGAACTTGCCACATGCTCCAGAGACCACCACAGAGGGCGTTTAATATCCGACTTGGTGAAGCTGAGACAACACTGGCTTTGCCCCAAATGATGGTGGTCATTAAAATACTATTCTCAGATACCATATGCCAGAGGCTGAATGAATCTACTCACAGTCCCATAGCTCACAGGGAGTTGGGTCGGGGCTTCAAACTCAGGCCTGTGCAACTCAAAAGCCCTGTTAGGATTCTTCTTCCACTTGTTTCACTCATTTTACATCAGAAGAAAAGCAACCAATAGACATAGGTAGGAACAGATGAAGCAGCGGGTCCAGTTGGGAGCAGAGGAGGCTGGAAGATGTAGGCTGAGTCAGCTTGCAGCTGACATGACCACAAGTGAGTGGTTTATCGCCTGACTGCCTCCCTGGGTTCCAGGGGTCAGATGAAATCCATGAATTAAGGAAGCATCACACCAAGTTGAAGAATGATTGTTACCCGATCTTTCTATTAAATAGGAAAGGGAGAACACCCCATCTCCACGTGGCACACACATTGGGTCTGCCCCAGGGTGATAATCTCTGATCACGCCGCTCAGTGGCGAACAGTTTCTCAGTGTGGAAACACCAAGGCTGGAAGCCGAGGTGGTCACCATTTAGAAAACCATGAAGTCAGAGAAAGAATTCAAGATTCATACTCTAAATTCCATTGTTCAAACGTCGGCCCAGATTTCAGAAGGAACAGCTGGCAAAGTTGCCTTGTTCAGAGTAAAACATTGTGGAACTCCACAGAGAAAGGGTGCAGTGTAAGAATATAAGCATCTTCCAAAAATGTTTACATCTGCGATGAGAGTTCTACAATCCGTTATTAAGGAAGAAAGGAAAGTGCTTTGTGGGTACATTCTGAACTTTTTGAGACTGGCATTGAAGAGGACAATTCCCCTACTTATTGCTCCTAGAGGTATCGTTAGCAGAAACAAAATCTGATTTTTGGGTATGCTGGTATGGATCCTCCAGAGTTGAATACTTTTGGCCTGATATTTTTAATCAAGGAAAAAAATGTCATTTTTACTTGAACAAATATTTGAGTGTATGTTAACCATTTTTCCAACTTGTGAACACTATTTGTAGATGTGATTTTTTTTTTTTTAATCTGCCGTCAGATGTACATACACAAAAAAAGTCTGAATTCTCCAATCAAAACAGAAAGCACTGGGTGCTCAGGGAGCCCTCATTTCCAGAATTGGAGACGGGTTTGGAAAGAAATTAGAAATGTTAGGCGGTGTAAGAAGTGTTCCTTCCATTATATATACTTTTTGACATTGAGAGTTTTCAGAGCTACATTCCTTCGACAGATGTCATAAATTTTGTGTGTCAAACAATGAATGAAGCTATATTGAGGGTTCGCTAATATGAATGCAGCTTTTGCCAAATTTTTGACAAATGGGCATCAACCTAGAGGATAAGACTGGTTCCTGCTGCCTGTAAGAGTTTTATTTCCATCTGTTACCAAGGCCATGGAGAACAAAGAGTGGAGCCGAGGCCTTATCAGGGCCTGCCAAGGCTGATGCCCTGACTGAAATGCTGAGTCAGAGCCGGAAGGAGGCTTGTAATCATCAAGGACTAGAGAGGTTCAGTGGCTTGTTCAAGGTCATTCAGCTAGTTGAGTTCAACCCCATCCAGTTCAGCTCTCCTGCGGGGCAGGCAGCGCAGTACAGGGACTGGAAACCAGAGGGGCCAGCTTTGCATCCTGCCCCACCACTTGCTGTGTGACCCCAGGTTAATTTTAATTTGAGTAGCAATTCTTCATCCTTAACGGAAATGGTTTGCCTCTTCACAGGTGTGTGCACTTCCTCACAAGGCTGAGAGCGAAACGAGGTGAAGTGTGTAGAGGGCCCCCCACCTTACTCCTCCTCTGGTCCCCTTTCTGCTCCTCAGCCCTCAGCCTTTTTCCCCCCTGCATTGGGTCCTTAGGGAAACTGAAAGGAACTTTTTTCCTTTTGAAATGAAAATTCTCAGTACCATCCCCCTGAGGCCATTCATGGCATTGCAACAGGACCCCACACATGGAAGACACTCAAAATGCATTTGTTGATTGGACGAATGGTCCAGACACAAACCTTCGGGTAACAGTTCCGGAGTCGTTAATCACCTGTGCACAGGAGGTGAAGAATGTTCCCAGGTAAGAGATTCAAATTTCATTTTTAAGCAAAACACTGCCCCTTGAAAATAAGTTTTTGTTGCTCCAGTCTCGAACTGCATTTGGATGTGTGGCTGAGTTGAGTGGAAGCGGACAGAATAAGGAATACTGCTTACACGCCTTGCAGCAGATGTGAATGAAGGTGGTTCAGCCTTCGTTCATTCTTGAGGAGCCACTGGGTAGGACCACTGCGGAATCCTCCGTCTCCAGAGGAAAGCTAATGACGGGAAAGGTAAAAAGCCCTTTGTGTGTGCGCCTGAGGAAGGATTCTCCCTTCTGTCTCCCAAGGGGCCAACTGGGCCCGGCTGGGCTGGAGTCATGAAAGAGTTGCGTGGATGCTGCATGGGGATGGGGGTGAGGGGGAGCACACCCCCATCCTGATCTGTTTTCAACTCAGGAGATACTCAGGATTTGGAATGTTGTCTTTCCATACGTCAGGTATTCAACTCTCAGGTACATGCAATGGAATCATATAGCCCTGTGGCCTTCTGATGAGCCAGGTTTTGATGAGTTGACCACATTCTGCATCAGCACCCCGACTCCCCACCCTGTCCTAAGCCCAGTTCCTCTGGGAAAACTACATTTCACAATAAAACAATTGCCAAGTAACTACTTGAATCATGCTGTAGCAAGGACACCGCTACCTCAAGTAAGCCCTGTCACTATCCCAATAGGGTTAAATGTTGTTGCTGAAAGACCAGTGATCAGCATATTAGAAATGTAAACCAACACCCGGGCAATAGGATTTTTCATTTTTGTTTCTAAAGTGGGTGATGGGAGGCCGGCCTGGTGGCCATAATGTTTAGGGTTGTGCCCTCCACTTGAGTGGCCCGGGGTTTGCGGGTTCGGATCTGGGGCATGGACCTATGCACCACTCATCAAGCCATGCTGTGGAGGGGTCCTGTATACAAAATAGAGGAAGATTGGCATGGATATTAGCTCAGGGACAATCTTTCTCAAGCAAAAAAAGAGGAAGATTGGCAACAGATGTTAGCTCACGGCCAGTCTTCCTCACACACACACACACACACACACACACGCACAAAAGTGGGTGATGGCGTCATAGGGATGGCCAGCATATCTGCAACTCGGAACCCAGCCAGGAAATGTTTAATTGCTGGCTTATTCAGCTTAAAGGCTGCCATCATGATTTGTCTTCCTGCTATGTTCTCACCAAGTACTCCTTTCCAGAACATTCCGGGACTGTCTGCCTTAACACCTTACCAAGAAATTAAAAAGGAACAAGGCAGAATATTTTACCCAGGAATAGGAATGTAATAAATGTAAAGAAAATGTGCCTCAACAAAGTGTTTCTAGTCTCAAATTCTGGCAAAACTGCTCACATCTCGTCAATTGCTCATCCTCTACTTGAAAGCTCCTATCTGGAATGTCTCCTCTTTCTGGCTTGTGTTCTCTCTTCCACCTCCTGGCTACAATTTTTTTATTACTCTAAATCTCTTGTTCTGCTCGCTTTCTCTTAAACGCAGAAAAGGTTTCCATATTGTCTTCTAGTAACTAAAGAACATATAGAAATTAAGATTATACATGATTTGGCCTATGGGACTAAGAATTAAATTCCAATTCCACTTAAGAAGCACACATTATTTTAGGGACTGTAGGTTAGCAATTGTAGGACAATATAGAAAAAGCATAAAATAGATTTCTTGGCTTCAAAGAGTCTATAATCTAGAAAAGCAATGTGCACACATTAAAAAATAATAATAGGATATGATTACTTGGCAAATTGAGAGTAAATGATACAGGAGATACAGGAGTGCATTGAAAACAGATATCATGCCCCCTTCCCGGAAGATTT